CACGCTAGAGTCGACCTCAGTGTGTGACGATAATAGTAATGTCAATAACAATGAATAATAATACAGTATAATTATAATAAATAGTCTTCATAATGCTACTAAGAATAACAGCAACTTGAGAGCCATAAACAGACAGACACGGACGACGTAACACAGTCATCACAACACAGGGCAAAGAATAATACTAACAATAATTATCCACGCAACACTACACATGTATTGGCCTTTGTCTCATGGCAATAACAATTATATAAATTTGGGTTAATACATTTAGTTTATATAATACAATCACCCTACTGTAATTCTCCATAAGCTGTGAGGTGCCTTGTGTTGTTCATGTGAGGGGAAATTCCTTTATCAGTAGGCTGACCTTGAGATTGTAGGGTTAACCCGGCATCTCCTCCAGAAGCCCCCCCTCTTCTCAGAGACACCTTCCCTCACAGGCCCTGTCCTCAGGACCTCAGTTCACACTTGACGCACGAGAATCGGACGGGTGACTTAACTCAGCCCAGCTGAGCCCTGTCCTTAACTAACACTCACGGCTTACAGTGTTATTTACGGTGCTTATACTCGTAGCCTGTGACATTTTCAGTTTATCAATAAATGGAGAAAAGACCATTTGGGGTCTGTAACTTAACCCCTTAACTTAGTTATATATAAGCCAAGTTAAAAGGGAGCTCTACCCAAAGCTTATATACACAACACTATGCTACACTACACAACACAACACTATGTTACACTACACAACACTATGCTACACTACACAACACTATGCTACACTACACTACACAACACAACACTGTTACACTACACAACACTATGCTACACTACACAACACTACACTACACAACACTGCTACACTACACAACACTATGCTACACTACACTACACAACACTACACAACACTGCTACACTACACAACACTACACAACACTATGCTACACTACACTATACTACATTCAAGCTCAGAAGATAACGTCATCCTTCGTTACTGGTGAACCAAAGAGGAGAGAAGGAGGAGCACTTAGGCCTCATACACTCTACACATTTTCAACATTCTCCTGGCCTACACATTCTCTACACCCCCCCCCAAAAGCCACCAACATTCCGCTCACCCACACACGTCTTCTCATATTTAGCTTTGGGTGTTTGTCACATAATTTTCACGGGCTACACGTACGGTTGGATGGCTCTCTGGTGCCTGGCTGGTGGTGTGGTGTGGTGTGGGGTGTAGTGGTGGCTGGTGGTGGGGTTGTAGTAATGGTGTGGGGGTGATGTGGAGTGGGTGGTTAGATGATGGAGTTATGGTGGAGTGGTGGTGTTCTGGTGGAGTGGTGGTGATGTGGGGTGGGTAGTTAGGTGGTGGAGTTGTGGTGATGGAGTGGTGGAGGTGTGGTGATGGAGTGGTGGTGTTCTGGTGGAGTGGTGGAGCTATGGTGGAGTGGTGGTGTTCTGGTGGAGTGGTGGAGCTATGGTGGAGGTGTGGTGATGTGGGGTGGGTAGTTAGGTGGTGGAGTTGTGGTGATGGAGTGGTGGAGGTGTGGTGATGGAGTGGTGGTGTTCTGGTGGAGTGGTGGAGTTCTGGGGAGGGTGGTGTTCTGGTGGGAGTGGTGGTGATGTGGGGTAGTTAGGTGGTGGAGTTGTGGTGATGGAGTGGTGGAGGTGTTCTAGGAGTGGTGGTGTTCTGGTGGAGTGGTGGACTCTGGTGGAGTGGTGGTGTTCTGGTGGTGGTGAACTGGGTTTTACTCCCATTCCTTCTGGTTTGTATGGAGAGACCTCAGTGTAGTGGAGGGAGGGTAAAGAAGGAGGGGCCTCATTGTGAAGGAAGTAGGGAGGGAGTGAGGGACCGGGGGATGGAGGGGGTGGGAGGGAGAAACATGTGTCCAACATCTGTGTCGACGACCTGTACTGAACTCTCACAGGAAAACTGAACAGGAAAGAAAAATTAGTCACTTATCTCTCTCTCTCTCTCTCTCTCTCTCTCTCTCTCTCTCTCACACAATATGAGACGGGAGTTACCAGCAACACCTCAACACACATCAGGAGTGGAAGACGGAAGTTGGGGAAAAACAAGTGAGAGAGAAAGCTAAAAAGTTGTCAGCTAAAAGCCTCGGGCCGACAGCTTGTCTAAAAGTTAAATTGCACCTACTCCATATCCGACAGGAATGAGGAGGCGGTCGCCCTACACGACAGGTCTCCCTCGGGCTTGTGGGGACGGTCCCAAGGTCTCATGGCTTCGTTCTCATGATCAAGAGATTTTGTGGGGATTCGCTCTGTTCTCCGGGGCCATGATACGTTCTCTAGGGCCATGATACATTCTCTGGGGCCATGGTACATTCTCTGGGGCCATGGTACATTCTCTGGGGCCATGGTACATTCTCTAGGGCCATGATACGTTCCTTAGGGTTTCTCTACGTTCTCTGGGGTAAAAGGATACGTTCTCTGTGGGTGGTCGTTCTTTCCTTAACGTGTGGGTCGTTCATTGAAGCTTTTGATGGACGTTCCTTTGGTGAGGAGGGTTAGTACGTGTCCGATCCCTGACAGGTAGAGAGACGGGTGACAGACAGAGAAAGAGACGAATGGCACGTAAAGTGAGACGGGTGACAGGTAAAGGGACAGACAATGAGAAACGGGTGACAGGTAGAGGAAAAGAGAGACAGGCAGGCAGACAGGTCTTCAGGTTATCAAACAGGCTGATAGACAGAAGGCTGGAAGCTGTACAAAGAAACGGTAACACGCAAGCACACAAAGGACAACAGACAGAGGGAAGAGACAGACAGGCAGCGTTGGAAGATCACGAGACAGGAGAAGGAAACATGGGAACTGGCAGACAGACAGATAGACAGGCAGGAACCCCTTGGTGGAGTTATGCGTTGTGGTGGTAGACATGCGTCAGGAATTTGTACCTCGGTCTGTTGGGAATGTTGGTTGGAGAGGGAGAGAAGGAGGGAGAGATGGATGGAGTGAGGGAAGGAAGGAATGACGGAGGGATTAGGGGAACGATAGAAGGAGTGGGGGAGGGAGGGAAGGGCGGAATGAGGTAGGGAGGGGCGGAAAGAGTGAGGGAGGGGCGGAAAGAGTGAGGGAGGGGCGGACTACATTCTCGTGAAAATAAGCACAAATAAACAGTATTGAGTTGGCGGGAAAATGCGTACGAGTTTCTGAGAATTTATAAGGAAAGTATTTTTTTATTATTTGAGATTCCCACGAAGGCCCGTAAGGCAGGTGAGGTGACATACAGGTGTGTTATTACTCTCATCAACCTTTCCCCAACAGGTGGAAAGGTGAGACAGTGTTACGATAGGTAGGTTGGTGTGGGGGAGGGGAAGGGGGGTGTGACAGGTAATTCGTACTGTCACTTGGTGTTATGTTCCGTATGACTTACAGAAAATATGTACTCACTCACTCACTCACTCACTCACTCTCACTCTCACTCACACTCACTCACTCACTCACACTCACTCACTCACTCACTCACTCACACTCACTCACTCACTCACTCACTCACTCACTCACTCACACTCACTCTCACTCACTCACTCACTCACTCACTCACTCACTCACTCACTCACTCACTCACTTATTAAAGGTTATGGTAAAGAGCATTAAAGAGGATAATAAGGACGACTAGGGAGGGAATATGGTAATAAAGAGATAAAAACTGACACAGGTGTTAATAAGACCGAGAGACAGGTGTTAAGACTAAAGAGACAGGTGTTAAGACTAAAGAGACAGGTGTTTAATAAAGACTGGAGATAAATTAACGTGCTTGGTGTCAGGGAAAAATTAATGAATTGTAGAGAAAGTATGATAGATTCCCTTCCGTTCCCATCCCTCCTCCCCATCCCTCTCCACCCTATCCCTCTCCCTCCCATCCCTCTCCCTCCCATCCCTCTCCCTCCCATCCCTCCCCCTCCCATCCCACACCCCATTGGAGCTGAAAATATGGGAATGGGAAAATTGAACCATAAAGAGTAATTTTGGTGTTTATTTTCGAGTGAGTGACCTCCTTATCTGACCTTGGGGGCTCACTACTCCTTATGGTTTTACCTGTACATCATTAGAAACACACCAAGGTAAACAGACAGATTTTATTCCTGACGCTGATGATTGTTTTATCGTGGTTGCGGAAGGTAAAATAATTCAGGTAAATGACGTGAAATGGAGCATGACCTACATAAAGTGACCTCGTGCGACACCCTCCCTCCCTCCCTCCCAGTCTCACTCACACACACACTAACACACTTACACTTTCCCTGAGTACTGCATACATCACCTCAGGATGACTGGCCTGACCCTCACACCTGCAGGATATTATTAGCTTTACCTGGAGGAGTCGGGGTAGGAGGGGGGAGGGACACCAGGGGCTCCTACCGGGAACAGCAGGGGGAATGTTGTGGGTGTCGTAGTGTCGTGAAATAGCTATGTTCCCTGGCTATATGTCTTAAGGCTACAACCCATGGCTACGTTTCCTGGCTATATATCTTAAGGCTACGTACCTGTACTGCCCTTGGCTATATCCCCCGGGCTATAATGGAGGTTACATCCAGTAATTGAAGTACTGGAAAGAACGTCCTTGTAACAACCTAATTTACAGTGATATCCAATACTCGTTATATCTATATAAACACTGCACCCTGAAGCTGTTACAGTGAACTAGATGTAGGTTGAGGTAATACCGGGAAGGTGAGAACTGCCCTTTCTTACCTGGAGACGTAAACACTCTCTCTCATCGCCTCTCATATCAACACAAATCGTGGTTGGTTGATTGATACGAGTTTGGTTTGGATATTACACATGACCTGGTAGTGTGTGTGTGTGTGTGTGTGTGTGTGTGTGTGTGTGTGTGTGTGTGTGTGCGTGTGTGTGTGTGTGTGTGTGTGTGTGTGTGTGTGTGTGTGTGTGTGTGTGTGTGTACGTAGAGGTTATTGAATGTTCTGTTAACTTTAGGTTGTTGTTTTTAATGTTTGTTAATAATTCTTTGTCCTTTTGATAGCTTTCGTGGAAGTCTGTGAGTAAAGCTTTGTCGTTTATCAGTTTTCTTTTTGTTTTTTCCTCACTTTTCCTCCCTCCTCCTCCATACCGTTCTTTCCTCCTCTCCTTCCACCTCACCGTTCCTCCGTCCTCTTCCCTCACTTCTCCTCACCGTTCCTCCGTCCTCTTCCCTCACTTCTCCTCACCGTTCCTCCGTCCTCTTCCCTCACTTCTCCTCACCGTTCCTCCGTCCTCTTCCCTCACTTCTCCTCACCGTTCCTCCGTCCTCTTCCCTCACTTCTCCTCACCGTTCCTCCGTCCTCTTCCCTCACTTCTCCTCACCGTTCTCCCCTCCTCTTCTCCCACTTCTCTCCACCCAACACTCCCCAGAATGATCCTCCTCCACACAAGTTTGTTATGTTCAACTTACCGCTGTCTTTTTCTTCTTCTTCCCTTCTTAGCCCCGAACTTGGCGCGTTTTTTCTATGTTTTCTCTCGAACTTGGCGCGTTTTTCTCTCCCAGGATGAAGATGGATCATGTAGAGCCTCTGGGGTGATGGGGGGAGATACAGTGTGGTGGTGGAAGGGTCACGTGGCTCCTGCTGGCTGGCGGGAGAACCTTCGTTAGGAGGTTTTATTTAGATACATTCGGTCACGGGATGCCCACTTCCTGATTGATGTGACTGCTAATTAGTCCCTTCAGTACGATGTCTCATCTCTTTTAGTCTGGCTGTCTACAAACGAGTTCATTCAGCTGAGGAAGTTACATCTCGTAGTCAAGGGGTTAGCCAGAACTTCGCTGCTTCTACAAGATATAGATTCAAGCATATCCATAATCCCTTTGCTCATAAATGTCCGATTTCACAAGGGAACATCTCACTTAGAACATGAATTCATCATCTCCCAACCTACTGTAACTTCAGTATTTTCATCTGGCAGCGCTAGACGTTATACACAGCTGAGGAAACCCCGTCGGTATTGTCAAAGCGTTATTCTGCATTGTAATCTTCCCAACCGATATACTACACTTTCCCTCCTCACCCCAGTACCCCCCCCGACACACCCTCTCCTCTTCCTCCTGTCACTAGTGAATGCTTCGAATTCACACTTCATAGTTCGGGGTTCACACCTCAGGGAGAGAGAGAGGATTGGCAACGCTAAGTGGTATACGCGGGAGTAGAGCCAACTGTTCGGTCATATCCAGGTGTTGACAGTATTACAAGTCGATGCCCTCATTTACATATTGTACAGGTACACACCTAAGGCCTACAACACCCAAATGCAACCCACACCTGCTTCATCGTCACCACCACCACCATCATCATCACCACCACCACCCCCACCCCCATCATCATCATCATCACAACATACATTACTAAAATAACAAAAGGCCTTTATCTTTTCCAAGCCAAATAAGTGTGTAGTGAGTCCCTCTTTACGACAGCTATATTGGGCAGCTGTGGCATGAAACAGTCGCGTGATGGAGACATTAGTTAGTTCATGCCTGCTGAGGTTGTTGTACACCTTTTGTCGGTTTGGTTATTTGACTTATACCCCCCCCCCCCTTGATTGCTGTTAAGCGTGGGTCCGGCCCGGCCCGGTCAGGCTGGGGGCGGAGGAAGGATAACAGAATATCAGAGAACAGAAGAGGTCGTCTTTAAGGACACGCGGGAGACCTTCTAACACCGCCGCTGGTCTGGTCCACACTGTCTCAACTCAAGTGCTCTGGAGTTTCTTTACAATTTACATAAGCCATTATTCGGCGTCCTTCTCCCTGATGGTGGCGCGGTCGACGCCATTATGGAGATCCCTGGAGCGGCCCTGACGCATTACGCCCCGCGGGGCCTGACCCAAGCACCTCCTCCACGCCCCAGATTATCAAAGATTCGAACGTTAATATTTTACCCCGTAGTGGGTGAAGGAACACGGCTCGGTCTCGGGGGGGGATGTTGACGTCTTTGTCGCTTCTTGTGCCGTAGCTCAAGTGAACCAGTGAGATGCATGTAAGAAATACAATTGCGAGAAAATGTTTATATAAAAACCTTTAAGAGTTCAGGTTTTGTCTGGTGGCTCTAAAGAGCCACTGAGATACACTTTACTCTCACACTGCCGGTTGGGTAAACAGATTGACGGACGACAGTTTGAGACTCCACATGTGTGTGTTAATATAAGTGGGGCAGCACGATGCTCCCTCACGACTCCCGCCCGGAGAAAAGTTTAACTGAGGAGCCTCAAGACTCCGTGTCATCGCCTCAGCTGGCCAAGTTTCCGCCCTAACCCGTGGTGTCATTACCCAGGCGTCCCCTAATTGGCCAATATGCTAAACCAACCCCGGCTCTCATAGTCGAACAGGTGGCACTGTGAGGCAGCGGGATGGTGGCACTGGGCCAGCAGGCGAACACTGGGGATGATCATAAGCCCCGTTGAGTGCCACTTAAGTGATCACTGTGGTAAGAGCTCAGGCGAGGGAGACGCTCGCTCAACAAATGCAACACAACAACCAGTTGAATTTCAGACTTGAGAGAACTGTGTGCGTCTGTCTGTCTCCCGCTGATGCTCTTAACTAATTGTTTTATATATAACTACAACCTTTACATGAGACAACCTGTATTACAACCTTACCTGTAAAACTCTACACTGAATTCTCTGACCTTGAGCCACCACTTGGCAGCAGCCTTCAGTGGTGTGGTGTGAGGGAGAGATCCATGAAATCGATCGTGTCAGTCACGCGCCTTCCCCCTCGTGCTGGTGGTTATTTTGACGTTTGTTCTGTATCTAACCACGACCTTTACCACCTTGTACCTGCACCTAAGTGAATAAGGTCGTTTATAACTACAGTCACGACCCTTAATATCGATAATAACTACAACCACGACTCTTGAAATGATAAACTTTGTTCTGTTTGTTTAGAATACCAATAACAGTTACGGTATTGTGGCTATTATCTCTCTCTCCTCCTCTCTCTCTCTGATAAGACTTCTTAGTATTTGTAATGTGGGCGAAATTAAGTTTGTGCGTGTGTGGCAGGGGGCGGGAGAAGCTGGATGTGTGTGTGGTGGGGGCTATGTAGTAAATAAGTAAGTGTGTGTGTGTGTGTGTGTGTGTGTGTGTGTGTGTGTGTGTGTGTGTGTGTGTGTGTGTGTGTGTGTGTGAGAGAGAGAGGTTTATGTCATATAAGGAGAGGAAGGAAAGAGTTGCATAAGACGACCGCCTCGGTGAGTGTTCCCAGAAACCCGCTATAGTCTCCTCCTCTCTCCTTCCTTTTCCTCCCCCTCTTTGCTTTATCCCCCTCCTTCCTTCCTCCCTCCTCCCATAAGTAATAACATGAAACACAACACGACGACAATTACTGCCCACTAGATGCTGTATGGCTACGACACTTCCCTCCTCCTACACTGCAGTACAAATGGCCTTTTTTATTGTTGATTGTGTTTGAGTCAGTACAGGACGCACTTTTTCACACTTACCTGACGGATGATGTATATTTCCCGAGTGTGTTTCTCAAGTACGACTTAACATAGCCAGTGTGCCTGAGGGTGTACAGTGGTCGAGCTGTTGTCTGTCTGATGGAGAAAGTTTGTCTTAGTTACTACTCGTTCCTTGTTGAGAAGCTTCCGTGTTGTTTGGAGGTTTGCACAAGTCACGTTTTAATCTCCTGTAGACAACTTTCATAGTCTCACGCTACTGCTAGTGATGGTGGCAGGTGGTGATGGTGGCAGGTGGTGATGGTGGCAGGTGGTGATGGTGGCAGGTGGTGATGGTGGCAGGTGGCTTGTGTTTATATATGTGCTCTTACTTTTTACTGCCGAGAGGAGGTGGGTGTCTGCTCCTACAACGAGGACACTCACTCATACAGCAGACAGAGACGGATCTGGTGGCGGGATCCAGGTGGGTAAGGGTTGACTGGGTGGTGGCGTGGCTGGCTCGGGTCAGCAGGTGAGGGTCGTGGAGGTAAATATCAGTAAGAAAAGCAGGTGGTGTGGGCCAGGTACTGGGTGGTGTGGGCCAGGTACTGGGTGGTGTGGGTCAGGTGCTGGGTGATGTGGGCCCGAGGCTGGGTGGCGTGGGCCAGATGCTGGTGGTGTGGGCCAGATGACTGGGTGGTGTGGGCCAGGTACTGGGTGGTGTGGGCCAGGTACTGGGTGGTGTGGGCCAGGTACTGGGTGTGTGGGGGTGCTGGGTGATGTGGGCCAGGGAGCTGGGTGGTGTGGGCCAGGTACTGGGTGGTGTGGGCCAGGTACTGGGTGGTGTGGGTCAGGTGCTAGGTGATGTGGGCAGGAGCTGGGTGGTGTGGGCCAGGTACTGGGTGGTGGGCCAGGTACTGGGTGGTGTGGGCCAGGTACTGGGTGGTGTGGGCCAGGTGCTAGATGGGGGGGGCCTTAAAGCTCTCCCTGCATCACTGTACACACCTTGGTGACGGGAGTAGTCTTATATACCTGGTGTTGTCTATAGAGACTTTTCCTACCCTCTCAACCTGTCCTATAAACCACCTCCCTGGTGATCTACGGCGCTGTTACTACTCGCTGCCCACACGTCTTAACACACCTGGTTTAATCGTGATATTTGAATGAACTTGTCAATAAAGGTCTCGGAAGATCTCCATTGTGTTGTGTGTCTGGTGTTGGTCGTAGAGTGTAGCAGCCAGGATATTACCTCTGTGCTGTGTGTACTTGCTCTTACTCTCCGGGTAGTTTACGGGTCTCCTGGAGTAGCGGAGACAAGGAAATAATGTGCATGGGTAAAAACGGAATGGAGGGAGACAAAGTAATGAAATGGTAGGAAGGGGAGATTGAAGGAAGGAGTAAAGACGTTGATCAGAGGAAGGAAATGGGGGAGGAATGAGAGGTGAAGTGAGGGAAAAGAAGACAGCGAGGTGATAGGAAGGAAGAGAGGAAGGAGGAAGAGAGAGGGTGGGAAGGAGTGAGAGAGATGGAAGAGATGTAGGGAAGGAGGGAGAGAGTAAGTGAGAAGGGTGAGGGCAGGGTGAAGGTGGGCGGGAGGGAGAGGGAGGAGATCTTGGTAAGGCGTGTCAGTACT